GTATTAGTGGACTGAAAGAAAATTAGTTATTTCCACAATTTATTTATTGTTTAAGCAATTAATTAAAAAAATAAAGTTTAACTGACTATAAAATGTATATTATTCTAATTTATTCATACAGCCCTTTTTTAGATATTCAAATCTGCTTTTTTAAAATATCTATTCATTAGTTTATTTAAGGAACACATTTCTTCTTTATTCTCTATGTTTAAGTTGTATTTACATAAGGATCTTATAGTAGTTAAATACATCGACACAATCCCCGTCAGTGATGGTCCTCACAGTCACAGTGCCAGCACCAAACACTGACACCACTCACACCGAGAGAGAGAGAGAGAGAGAGAGAGAGAGAGAGAGAGAGAGAGAGAGAGAGAGAGCGTCCGGGTCGGTCTGTCAGTCTGCCTCTGCAAAGGTCACTCATACAAAGAGCTGGAGGAGTTTGGACATCAGCCAGGAACAGTCAGTTGGATGGGGGAGGGAGGGGAGAGAGGATGGGAGGGAGAGAGGAGGGGAGGGGAGGGGAGGGAGAGGAGGGGAGGGGAGGGGAGAGAGGGAGGGGGAGGGGAGAGAGGAGGGGAGGGAGAGAGGAGGGGAGGGAGGGGAGGTTGCAGAGTGGAAAACTGACGGCAAAAAACAACAGAGACAGTTGGGTGCCTGCAGGCCGCTCTGACGTCAGCTGGCCCTGTTAAAGGCCAGGAGTTGAGAGCGAGCGACGGGGAGGACAGACAGCTACATCCCATAATAACCTCCTCACCTCTGCGGGGCGTAATGGGAGTTTACAGGATACTTATGGTGCTCATGTCCCCCCCCCCGGACTCCTTTGTTTGGGAGCAGCGTTTAGTCTTCTGGAGACCAGACAGAAGACATTAAAGGGACTCACTGGTTCCCAACCTGTTTCCTTAAGGGACAACTTTACTATCGTTTAATAAACAGATGATTTAAGTGATGTATTTTATATATATAATTCTCTGTCTGTATTATGTATTTATTTTAGAATTTTTAACAATCATACAAACTTAATAAGCTTCTTTTTGACAAATTCAGTGTTTTCTTGTTGTGTTATGCTTGGCCATTGATCTGTTAGACAATGTACTTAATTTTGTTTACATTTCTTCCCAGAAATGAAACAAATACTGAGATATAATATATATAATATAACCGTGTACATTTTTACATTTTCATTACACCTCTTAAAATCAAGAAGTGACCCCGAGGCTGGGAACCAGTGCTCTAGTGTACTGGTTCTCAAACTACGGTTCCTGTACCACTGGTGGTATACCAGCTGCCTCTGGAGGAATCTCTGAAATCTTACAATTAAATTAATGAATTAAAAAACATATAATACTATCAAAATAATACTACATTTTGAATGATGATGTTTGTCATTTCCTGTAATATTGTATTTTAACATCAGTCATAATGGCGGTATATTCTGAGGTGGTACGTGGCGTAAAAGGTTTCAGAAACACTGATATAATCAATGAATCTAAGAATATTAAAGAAATAATTGGTCATTTATTTATTGGGAATAATTATCTCTAATTTACTCTCTTGCTAAGAGTTGTGGTTGGTAAATATTAAGCTATAGCCGGTTAGCCTAGCTTAGCATAAAGACTGGAAACAGGGGGAAACAACTAGCCTGGCTCTAATAATAATAATAATAACTCAGTGTAAGATCAACAATTTACTGTTTTACAGGTTTTTAAAATTTTTTTAATGCATTTCTGGGCCAGGAGTCTCCGCTGGTTGCCTGGCAACTGCTCCTAGTCAACAAATAGTCTGGCACATAAACCCTCCTTCAAACAGCACGTTGATGTTATTAAACTTTAGCTTTTTGTGCCGTTTAAACCGACGAGATATAATCAATTGATGAATTGAGCTTTAGAGGAGCTGGTGGGCAGATATCTTTAGAGCGCCACGCTAACTGTTTCCCTCCGTTTCTGGTTTCTTGTGCTACTATAAGAAAACCAGCTGAGGGCTCCAGCAACACATCCGCCAGACTGACACAAGAGCAATATTGATTGTCTCATCTTTGACACATGACACATAAAACTGAAACCATCTGCAGGGTTCGACACCACTAAGGGCTAAAGAGACCACGTACTGACCCTTTAATCCAATCTCCTCTTATTAATGTTAGTTTTCCTTTATCTCTTTAACGTTACATAAGGGACCTCAAACTTGTGTCCCGGGGGCCTTTTATAGCCCTCCATCCCGCTCCCTCCAAGTCATGATGTCAAAAATAAAATATGATCCAGCCCACAACATTTACTACTATATGTATTTGTTTCATACTAATTTAAACTACCCCGATATATAAAATAAAATATGTGTCGATAAGAGGAGAGGGCAGGTGTTGGGCCTTTATTTGTGGTTTGGCTGTAGAAACTATATGATGCAGTATGTTAGTAGTGGATATATTCTCAGAATATATTGCTCTCTTGCAGTATTTTAAAGTGACAATATCAACAGTGGCCCCAAGCCAGTTTGAGACCCTTGTTTTAAAGTTAAAATCAACGTGTTTCTTCACCTTTGCACTCCTGAGAGAGAGAGAGAGAGAGAGAGACACACACACGCACACAATCTTTGCATGAGAAACATGGGATATTATAGCAACACCGAGGGTACGAGCAGCCGTCACGCGCTCCAGTGACAGCAGGGAGGGAGACTCTGTGACGCCTGTGGCTGCTGCAGTGACATTCAAGCCCCGACCCTCCTCTCCACAGCTGGGTGTTTTAGTGTTTGCTGACTCAAGGGACGCCACCACCACCACCACCACCACCACCACGGCGGCATTCACAGGGGAACAGGCATCAAAGCGTGACATTGAAGACCTTGGGGGGCAGTACCCGTGAAATAGTTCATTGCAGGTGTCCGAGGAGGAACACCGGTGCTTCTGCAGAGGACACAAAGGTTCCTCTGGAGACTCTGTAATGTGGGTGACTTTGGGAAGAGGTTTTGAGTGAGTAGGATTCTCCATGCAGGGTGACACCACGTCTCCATCTGGACACCACTTTAAGCAACGGCCACCCTGGCTCTTGAACCGTTAGCCCCCCCCCCTCCTTTGGTGTGTTGGTGAAGCTTCTTGCATATTTAATCCCATTTTCCAGCTCACTTCCCGCTGTTTTTACCCTCAGTTCCCATTGGCTGCCTGAAGCATGTGGCTTTCCTGCAGACCCTCCACAGATCACTCCAGCTGCCGTGGAAATGGAGTTGATGGCATTTATCCTGTGAATTCAACAATTTTAAGGCATTTTGGGGCAGGAAAAGTCACATTTTGTATCATAGCAACAAATACATGGTAGTTGATATAAGGGGGTAATGTGAGTTGACCACCGCAGAAGTCCTCTCAGACACCTACAGATACACTAGTTGAATATCTTGTAAAATATGTTCTTTCTTGCCGAGAGTGGGATGAAAAGATCGGAACCTCTCTCGTTCTTGTATATGAAGCCAAAGCTGGCAGCCAGTTAGCTTAGCTTAGCATAAAGACTGGAAGTAGGGAAACAGCTAGTCTAGCTCAGTCTGAGGAAAACTAAATCTGCCAAGCACCATCAATAAAGTCCACTAATCAACACATTACAAGGAAAGAAAAGTGTCATGGAATTAGTAAGTAAGTACTTTTACACAAATGTATTACTTCCTTTACTAAAGTGACAGATGAGGGTAAGGAGATCTGGGTCTGGTGCCGAGTTCACACTGACATCAGCTCACCGTCACAACTGAAAGCAGACCTCTGTAATGTAAACCAGTGACTTTGAACAGATAGTGACGGACACTTCAGTTAAACAACGGGCACAGACCTGAGCAAACACAGGCTTCGGTTACCCGGAGACCATTTTCATCCAGAAACTCAGTGAGCGAGAACAGCTTGAGGAGGAGTGTCATTTAAAATCAGTGGGAAGTGAGGTGTTGTAATTTCTACAGGACCTTCAGGATTCTTGCACACTGTCGAATAATTTAAGAATAGTTTGACATTTAGGGAAACAGCTAACAAGCTCAAATATGACAGCTGGCATAACTTACAGACAGGGAGTAGATCAATAATCAATAATTCAGCTATCAACACTGGTGGAGGAAGAATTGTTTACTTATTTAAAAAGTACTGAAAACACATTAGAAAATTAATAAATGCAGAAAAATGTCCACTTTGACTATTAGGCTACACTGATGCATTAATGTAAAAGATTACTAATTTTGAACTACTTATTATTAACTAGAACTGCAACTATTGATTATTTCCATTATGGATTATTCTGCAGATTATTTTCTCTATTAATAAAATAGATTATTTGATTTCTAAAACTTATTTAAACAGTGTTAAATGCTGTCACTATTACCCAAAGTGACACCTTCACAATACTTGTTTTGGCCAAAGACTAAAACAAGTAAAAAAAAAATAAATTAATAAATAAAAAAAATAAAATCAAGATTTCTGAAATAATTACACAGAAAATCAGTAAATTTCACTTCACATTAATTAACTGTCTGATGATTTCAGCTGTACTTGTATATACCGTTGGGCAGTTTGATTTACCACATTTTATAATCACCTCATATGTTTTGTTTGCAAAAGTCTTAATTTGTAAAGTAACTAATGCTGTCAGATAAATGTAGTGTATAATAAAGTTAAAAAAAGTACAATATATCCCTCTGAGATGTAGTGTAGTAGTGCTACAGTACTTGTGTAAATGTACTTTACTACTACTGTACTACAGTTAAAGGGGGGGTGGTACTGCATCTTGGCTGGCATGTAATCCCTCGAAAACAAACAAAATGTAGTAAAAGAAATCATAAAAGTCAAAAATATAACCAAAATTCATCATTAAATGAAGTGGAGTATTAGATAAAAGCTTTACACCTCCAGTTAATATAATAAATAAAAACTAAAATGTTTATATTTAACTCTTATTGTTCTCTTTAGCTTTACCATTTTTCATAAACATCAACATATTGGTGTTAAATGCATAAAAACAGGTTAAAAGACAAACATTACACTGTTAGGATCTTTATGATGTTTTATTCCAGCACAAGTCTTTTGTGTTGTAAAATGGCTGTGTAGCTAGGAATTAAAGGAGAAGTACAAAATGGAAAATTACAGACAGTTCTAGTATAATTTGTTTAAATCCCTATTGTGTTTATTTCCTAAAACCACATCTAGGAAAACATTATTTCCCTGCCTTCTTTGGAAACATGGTCAGAAAATAAAAAAAAAAAAGAAAAAAAAAAAGTGAAAAGGTGAAAAAAAAAAAAAAAAACAAATGAAGCTTTAATTCCAGTCACTCTCACAACGGAGGGGAATCTGAAAGGGCCGCCGTGCAGCCGGATTCAAAATGTTTTTACCTACCCAGTCAGGTAGCCCTTTTTTAATTTTGCATTTCACAAACAGTTTCTACCAACAGTGGCACAAAGGGAGGGCAGTAAACTACTATAATGCACTTTTTATGCATTAGTTTATGACAATGATAATTGCTGCTCCTCTATAATTTCCCTAATTAAAGCAGGCTAAGCAAATTACATATAATTGACCTCAAAACCACAACACAAGTACATTCGAGAGAGAACAGCTGCATTGGTGCAGGGCCCTGCCAGAGTTTCCCTCGTGAGTGAAGAGTGATCCCTTCCTAATCGGCCGAGTTTGAGCTCGACGCCAAGAAAACCTTCCGTGAAACCAACACCCCGAGTGTTTGTCAAGAGGGAGTGCGAGGAAACAGCATTATTTGGGATCGTGGTCTACCTGGATATCAGGTAAGGCTTGATAGTCCGAGGTGTTCCACTAAATCCTGATTATTTAAAATGTACAATGGTACAAGTTTGAAACTGGGCCCGTGTGTCGCTGTGCAAACGTTGTGTGTGTGTCAGCCAGCACACGGACGTACAGTAGCTCTAACGTCTTGAAGCCACAAACCTTCCTGGTCAGCGAACTCAAGAAAAATAAAAAATAAAATAAATAAAAAAGGGTAACACTGAGAAGTGAGGGAAAAATCCTTTGCTTTTGTCTCCATTTTTTTTTAACATTTTTTTTAAAAAACATTCATGATATTTTAAACTAAAATTCTCTGAAATTATCACGGACCAAAAAAAAAAAGAAAAACAAAAAAGAGAAACGCTGCAGTCATTTCCAACAATGAAAACTCTTCCTCAGCTTTGTTATGTACAAGATTTAAACATACCATGACATGAGGACGACAGTTCATGTAATTTTAAAATGAAATCAAATTTGACCACTTGTGGTGAAGCCGCCGCCGCCGCCACACTCTGACGTCACAGAGCATCACGACATGAATCATATATATCAAAAATGGGGGGAAAAGACAACCACACACACTCACTTAGGCAGGTTATGCTGTAAATTTACAGTAATGACACCTATAGTTCTGTAAGCCAAAATCTCTATTTTAGAATGCTGAACATTAGGGTAGCTTTCTATAAAAATCTTTTTTACCCCCCCTCATGTCTTTTCCCCACCCCAACGACACTAAGCATATGGCTTAAATATTTGTAAAACTATGTAGTCCAATGGGGGAATAAGAGTCTCTGCCTCCTCAGTCTGGCTCACTGAGATAATCCTTTGAGACAGACGTCTACTCTGCTGTGCGTAGCTGCACATGGCTCTGTGTGCACGTGTGTTTGTGTGTGTGTTTGTGTGTGTGTGTGTTGTAGCGCAGAGGGTGAAAAGGGGAATCCACAAAGAGGGAATAACTTTTCAGCTGATCAGACTGCAAATTCCTGCCCTGCGTGCCACCACGGTTATATTTCTTTTCTTTTTTTAAATTAGCACTGAAAAGCACCGTCTTCCTCTTCCTCTTGCCTCCGACGTCTGACACAGAAAACGATCCTTAAAATCAAATCAAGCGCCGCATCATAGCCACCATTCCTTTAGGCTTTCAGCAGGGCCGCCAGTGTAAACATGATATCCCCCCCCTTTCTTAGTGAGCTCAGAATACTGCCTCGACAGACAGTCAGAGACAGGGGGGGAATAAAAAGTCAAAAAAAAAAAAAAAAAAAAAAAAAAAGACATCAACAACAAATACAATGGCCGTTGTTCTGGAGATATGCAGGTTACGGGAAGGAAACAAAAAGAAATCAAAACATTGACAGCTACCACTCAGGAATATTTCCTGGGACAGGGAGCAGTTAGGGCAGTATGGATCTTTAGTGCAATGAAGGCCAGAGGAGCGGCCGGCTGCGCAGCCTCAACGTTCACACAGCCGCTCGCTCTGGAAGGTGTGGCCAGCCGGCTAGTCAGCGGCCTGAAAGAGAGGTCCAGTGGGCTTCATCAACTCTCGCCAGGAAGAAGAATAAGGGCAGCCATTATGCTTCTAGTCACGTTGTTTTCACTCACTCACGCGCGTCCATACACACTTTATACTCTGTAAAACTACTGTGGCTAAAGCCTAGGAGGGGAAGAGAGAGAGGGAGAGAGAGAGAGAGAGAGGGACAGGGAGGGAGAGAGAGAGGGGGACAGGGAGGGAGAGAGAGAGAGAGGGAGAGAGAGAGAGAGAGAGAGAGAGACAGAGAGAGAGTCCGGTCCAGAGCATCTTCTGGAGGAGTCCTGAGCCTCATTTTGTTAACTTTGAATAAAAAGTTATGTACGTGTGAGCGTCTACGTGTATGAGGACGTGTAAACATCAAAATGTGAGTCGTGACGAGTGCGAGAGATTATTCTGCTAGGCCGTTGGAGCGAGTGTGTGGTGTTAGGGTTGTGTGCAAGATAACTTATGCCTCTGACCAGTTTCATCTTGTTCGGGTAATTGTAATCTGTGTCTGTGTCTTCCTATGGTTTTTTTTTTGTTTTGTTTCCTGTTAAAGTCTCTCCTCTGTTGAAAATGTACATTCATCCATCGTAGGGGGGTGGGGGGGGAGGGGGGGTGGGGGGGCATGTATGACGCTAGGCCACACACCAACCGATCCTGAGGCTTTTCCAGTGGTCCGATAAAGACTCTCGCCTCATCAGCGCACTCAAAATAAACAGCAGTAGAGGTACTGGAGGACGCTGTACCACACGAAGCCGGAGGCGAAAGCAAACAACTGGATAATACACAGCCACACGGGGTCGAGGGTCATCGGCCGTGAAACTGCCTCCTTCTGTCCTTCTTCAAGGGGGAATGTTCCTGTTGGGGAAAACAAGATACAGAGAGGGGTTGATGTGTTTAGATTTATTAAACTAGGACGCCACAGAGAAATCAGTGAATGTATATTGTTTGTGTTTGTTTTGACTTTATTTGGTCAGAATTTAAGTACCCCAAGGTAGAAATGATGATGATATGGTGTGAACGTGGCATTAATGCGTGTTGTTACAGGACTACTTGTTGCTGTGAGGTTTGACAGTCTGGTCAATCACTGTCACCCTATCTGGATCAAGCCAACGCTAGCTAGAACCTTTTTTGTACAATGTGTGACAAACACAGCCCGTCAGTATGTTAACACACGTTTAAGTAATGCTCGACTTCCTGCATATAACTGATTTCTTATACATCGTGTGATGAGGAAGCTGGTTTCTATATTTGGAGGATTAGGAGATTAAGCACACCTGATTTCCCCAGGTAGATTATACATGGGAGAGAATCACTGTGACAGCGGCTGAAAAAGGAGTGGTTGCACATAGTGAAGCATCCTCGTATTTAAAATAATTCCATCCAAAGTCTGACTAATTTAAGGTAGCCTCTTGAAGTCGAAATAAGTCACACTTTGGCACATTGGCACTGTGAGGGAAAGCTGTGAGTGACTTAGCAGGTGTTAAAATAACAAGAACCAAAAGTAAAATCTAATGGGAGTCACAAATCATTTTCCAGGAGTTTTTCTTCACATTACAGGACGGCACTTACTCACATTTAAGCTGATGTCTCAGCCAAACAGACTACATTAATTTGACCACAGCCCATAAGTATCAAATCTAATTTGTCTTCTAGAAAGTTAAAGTGTTCAATGCACGTACAATTAACATCACTACATGTATTTATCAACCACAGCAACAAGATATTTGATCATAAATAGGCTGTATGCACTTATTTTGGACCTCGGGAAGAAACAGACTTGATGCCCAAAAGATTGTTGCAAGTCAGTTCCTCTTTGCATCCGGTAAAAAGTGTTGTACAGTTTATATTATCAATAGTCGAGTTTCAAACTAAATATGCACCAAGGTTTACGTAGGAGATCTGAGTGAGGGGTTTCCAGGACAACAAAGGTTTAGATAGATAGGATATTTGGCCATTTTAATCAATTTCCAGGTAATTTCGTGCCTGGAAAACTAGTCTCTAAATTTCCAGGTTTTCCAGGAGGCGTGGGAACCCTTAATTAGTGCCACGAACGGCACAGTGGGTCCTCCCAAATGCTGAACAGGGGTTTCATTATTAAACATTAGGAAGTTGACGGTTTGTATCCTAGCAACAACGGCCCTTAAATATCAGTCAACCGTTGCCATGGGTAACGCCCACCCATAGGGTTGAAGCTTGGACATGGTTTCACAAACGTTTCTACTAAATATGGCTTTAAAAATAAAAAGAAGTATTCCCAGTGGCTGCACTATCATCATTATAGTTTATGTTTCCTTACACAACATTTGAGACATGGTGAGACAGACCTGTGTCGTAGAAGTGGGCCAGCAACTCTTCTTTCTCCACAAACCTCTGATACAGCCAGTCAGTCAGGGGCTCGGTCTCCACAGGAACCTCTTTTATTGGGTACATCCTGAAGGAAGAGAGAGAGAGACAGGCAGACACAGGGAGTGAGATGAAGCACAAAAAAAGGATCACTGAAGTCTCACTCGGCAGAAACTGTCTGCATTGATCCGTCGTGGAAACTGCAGTCCAAACCCGGGGTGTCAGCCGTGGTCCCTGAACAGAGTCTATTTCAGACTGGAATCTATTACGGCGGTCTGTGTGTTTGCTGTAGCTTCAGCTTGTTTTGGGTGGGTGGGTGGGTGGGGAGGGGGATTCATTAGCTGGCAGGCTCATCAGAGTGAACAGAGGGAGACAGAAGTGCTGAGGAGAGCCCTGACAGGAGACAGACAAGTCACGTAGCTGCACAAAATGGCTCGCTTAGTAGTGTGTGGGAAGAAAACGTCTATAAAAAAAATAAAAACTAGCAAAGCTGAAAAAGTTAAATCAGTTTTGCCACCGAGCTAGAGAGAAGCAGCACTATTAGATTCTGGCAAGAACGAGAGCAAAACTGGTCATCACGAGTTTCCAGAGCCTGTGGTGACGACTTAAATTGATACATTTTCCCCAACAAACAGAAAAATTTGGTTTAAAGAATAAAGAAATGTGCCTCAACAATGAAAGATTGTATTTGCTATAAAGTATTCTGAAAATATGGTTGTAGTGCTTTGTAACTTTTACATTTCTTTTACACACTTTTTACCATGAGTAATTACACTGTGGGAGAAGCGGGGTGATAATGTTTTGTTTACCAGTTACATGGCTGTATAAACAGAAACCAGAAGCAGCCTCAGAGACCACCCTGATGAAGACGAGGGAGCCAACAGTCTGACCAACAGACCAAACACTCCAAAATATTCACTTTACTATCACAGAAGATGACAGAAACGAGCCAATCGTGACATTTAAAAGAAGCAGAAACCAGAGAGTCGTTGACATTTTTGCTTACAGATTTGCTTAAATAGTTTCCCAAAATACCAACATCTAGTTATCAACCTCCACAAGCTGTTTATTTAACATTCCCAGCTGGCTCAAACATTATTTTTACGGACTGACGCACTGGCTGACATTGTTAAAAACAGTGTATGGCTAATAAAAAAGGGTCACTTCTATAAGCCAATAATGAAGAGTGCTGATGAAATCTTGTTTCTAGCCAGAAGGGGTCCCTAGTCAGCTGCACTCCCACACAGGCAGCTCCTGGTCACCTTCAAATAGAGGTTACAGTCTCCTCCCTCAGACAAACATTTCCTCTGCACTCAACATTTGCTCAATACTCCCGACCGGATAATATCCACTGTAAAAGTACATCTGTGCCTGTGAGGGAAGCTTCTTTAAGAGGGAAGCAATAAGTGATACAGTATCGATTACTTAAGTGATCAATGTGTATTAAAAGGCAATCTAAGCAAAAAGCAACGGCACTCCTGTCTGTCTTTTAAGAACACACAGACATGTTTCTCCACTCTGTTGCAGGTACGAACTACACGATCTAGTTGTCACGTGACCCCGTAAATAAAAAGTAATCAATATTATTTATCATAGAAAATAGAGGATTAATGGAGAATAGATGTATTTTTGCTCAGAATTAGCATTTAGTCTGATTATCAGTGGTCTAAGATTGAGCTGGAAACACGAATTTAGATAGAAAATTGAGTAGGAAAACTAATTTGATAGTTTATTAATTGTTCCTCACATCACTTCTCAAGCAAAAATGTCAAACAGTCTTTAATTTCAGCTTCTCTAATGTGAGGATCTACTGTATTTCTTTGTCTTACACGACTGTAAACTATTATGTTTAGATGTTAAGACAGACCATCAGATAAAACAAGGAATGTGACGTCACCATGGGCTGTAGGAAGTTGTAATGGGAATTCTGGGAATTTTTCTCCAACTTCTCACATTTCACAGACAAAATGATTCCTTACTGATGAATGAAACTAATCATTAGCCGTGGCACTTACTTCCACAAAAGTATTCACATGATCCCATAAATAAAATGATAAATGTAATTAAAATACAAAATAAAAACAGTGTTCGTGGTTTTAAAAAAAGGGTGTAAACCTTTGATATAAGTTCTTCTGGAATGAGGAAGAGACGTCTGATAAGAAAGGTTTACACAAAGACTTTTTATGAGCCCATATTCTGAATATTATTGGTGTAAAAAGCTACAGCCAGAGAGGTCCTCAGTGTAGATTGACACAACAGTAAAAATGTGGTCTTTGAACCTGAATCAGTCTGTGGGACCAAATCAGGAAAAGGCTTGGCCTGCTTGTTCCACAGATCAGAAGGGCAGGAGCTGATGATTCAACACAGACTTCCGCTTGGTTTGTATATTTTAAGCTCATATCTACCGACCCTTCTACTCATTATCCAGAGGTTCACTGTGTGGGTGTTTCTCTGTGGCATGTCTGAACAAGGTCCTGCTTTAAGTAAAGCAACTTATATCCCTAGCAGCGGAGAAACTCACTAAAACTAAGTTCAAGATAAAACTGAGGATGAAATCCACCGTTTCCTATTGCTAAAGGTTCTAATAAAGTCGACTTTTTGAAGATAAAACTGCTTTTTTCCCCTCCCAACAGCAACACCAGACCCCCAGAGCGGCTCTGGCTGCACAAAACTGGAGCTAAGCTGCTGGTGCCACCTGATAGGGTGATTAGAGGCCAAAGCAAGACGTTCCACGGAGCTTCTCCTACTGTGTCTGAAGATATCAGGTGTCTTTCGTGTTACTGATGTGCCATAGGAACCGACTGATGCATTCTCAAAGCACCAAGAAAAGAGAAAATAAGCTCAGAAAGAAGGCATGAGAACAATAGACACATCAGCACCCCTTAACAGTGAGACTGATATGATGATATGTGGACAGAAAGTAGCAATTAAAGCAAAAGGATAAATCAAGCAAGTCACCACTAGAACAATAAAACCTGTGTTTTCCTGTAACTGCTTCGAAGTTGTGCTGATAGGTGGTAATTTGTGGTCTTGGCTGCACATGTAACTCCTATTATTGTCTATCTTTGGTGTCTTTTTTTTCATGGTGGTGTTATCTTTAAATATAAATTAATTAATTATTAAATGTTTGATTGAATGCAACACGCGCAAGCTTAGAGAGCGTTTCACACCTGCTCCGGTATAGGATGCCTGCCAAAGGCCCTCTGTACTCGTGAATGTAAACCGATAGCTCTGTAATCCTGGCAGAGGAGAATAGGAGCCGGCTCAGGCCACTTATCGGAAGGTTTGAGCAATTAAAGGCCTTTGGGTAGCAGGTGGCAGCCACAGCGCTTTCCTACAGCTGAAATATTCATGCAGAAATCAGGATCTTTTGGCGTCTGGCTGCTGAGGGCAGCTGAGGTTGAAGGAGGCGCTGCTGATTCGGGTCCAGAGCAAATAAACACAACCTGCTTAGTTAGCATACAGTATCTTCCCTGTATCAGCTGCTTTCACTGGTCTATCAGCAAGGTTTTGTTTGGAGAAAAATGTCTAAAGCCACCTTTGTAAGAGCCTGAATCAACCAGCATGTGGGAAGTTCACTGGGTTAATTTCCTTCAGTGAAAACACAGCTCTACATTTAGGCTGTTACCAATCACACAGTCTTGCTCCAGTCATATGGGTAATTTTAGATTAGGGCTAGAACTAACTAGCATAACATCCTCACACTTGAGAAGCTGGAATGAGCCAAAATTAATAGATAATAATAATAATAATAATAATAATAATAATAATAATAAAAAATAGATTATAAGAATAGTTCAATTCTAATAATTTTCTGCTAATCAACTGATCGATTCAACTTTATGTTGTTTAAAGCTTAAACTTAACCAAGTTTAACAAGCGAACGTCGTGTTTTCCACCAAGAAAAGCCTTCAGTGCTGTTCTTTAACTATAACCCAACCTAGCTAACCTCTATGAGAGCTGCCATTGTTGCCTGGCAGGACGGATTCTTGCATAAAATGTACACAGGTCAACGCTACTGTGACCTAGCGGAGGTTCTGCAACAGTTCAGGTCTTCGTTAAACTGCAAGTTGTCTGGTCTTGTTTGATGCACTAGTGCAAAAGTTCAAGCTGCAGCCAACATCTGAGGTCTCGTTTTGGCTCACAGGAAACAGACAGGCAATCAGCGTACCGTCTCGCCTGCAGGTTGCACAGTTACAACGAATGCCAACTGCGAGGATGAGTATGCTAACCATGCTCCGCTGTTACACTGCACTAGAGGGTCAATACAGTGCTTAGTGAAAAGAAACAATACTATGGCGATGTTTGTTGTGCCGAGAGGTGCAGCGGCGTGCGTAACAGAGTACAGTGGTGATGGTGATGGTGGTGGTGGTGGTGGTGAGGAACTGGTGGTGATGTGTTGGCGCGGGGCCACGGCAGCGCTCTCATTTCCACCCTAACCCACTTGGCACCAGCCTGCTTGTTAACATGACACCCTGGCGCACAGTCAGACAGACAGCTGTGAGAGAGCTGCAGTTTCTCCTGTCAATAACCTGAAACATCAAACTTTTACCATATGTTGACCTGAGCTACATCCAACAGATAACGTACTTCTTTACTTGCAAGTGGTTATTGATTTCTGGAAAATGAACCTAACATTAAATTCAAATATAGTTTTTTATGTATTTCTTCATTAGAAGAAAGTCTAATTAGGGTTATAAGTGCAAATCAGAAGCTGTTGATCTTCTTTTTACTGCCTTGTTTGAACCATTTAGCTTCTGTATAGCTCTTATTCTTGAGATATTGTTTCCCCTTCTAACAAGACTGGGAAGCTAATTAAATCTGGACTGTTGCTGGGAATGTCTGTCCACTCAACAAGCCTCTTTGGAGGGTAGCCAGTCATTGTTTGGGGACTCTATACGGCCCTAAATCTCTCCGACTTGAGAAACAAAAGAGGGTGTCCATGGGGGCCTGATCTCGGGCACAATGTTGCAAAAGGTGAATATTGAGATTAGCAGCCAGTGTAGCTTAGGGACCAAAAAAAAAAAAGGCTGCTGTCCAACTCCCAGTCTTTTTCTAGTTAAGATAAGGGTCCTCATCTATGTGCAA